TACAATAAAGAAGGATTAATATGTATTTAATTTATACAGTGATGTTATTTTATATTTGTTTACTTTATTTCTGTACCTGAAAACTGTTAAACCTATCTAAAAAGCACTGTTTATTTAGTATGTATCTTTGTTCTGTTGTATTTATGTAGGCCTGCTGAATGTTAAATCCAATCCATGTTCATTAGAAATTATTTTATAATGCAGCAATAAATCTGCTAGCATAATTTAATGCAGGTGTTTTTGAATGTTGCTGATTTAAAACATGATCAAAATACTATCTATTTTGATCCCAAAATTTCAAATAAGAGAGGAAGTGACAAATATCGGTATCGGAATCGGCCAATAAGTGATTGTTAAAATCGGTATCGGCATCTGCCCCAAAAATCCTATCGGTGCATCCCTAATTTTGGATTATTTACAGAAAAAAAGCTCTGTGATTAACAAAAGTAATGACTGTCACACATTTTGTTCCTGATGATAATGTTTTGTTCAAATTTGATGAATTTTGAAGTCTAAATAAATCACCAGATTTAAGCCAAACATTGGTGTGGCAAGTGGAGTTGTCACGATTTCCACTGAGGACCTCCTGAAGGATGTAAGGAGGAGTGAGCACAGTTGAGGGAGAGAAATGACCAGGCCTGGAACATTTTATGTTTTGTGTGTGCGTCAGTTGGCTGTGAGGTGGCTGCCGCTCGTTTTGTTTGAATATTTTTAATTTGTGAGATTGAATGTTTAATTTGAACTGTTTCCCTCCTTTTTCTTCCCATATCAACGAACTTCAACATAGTTGGCTATAAACAAACTACACTACAGTTGCTTGAGTTTAGTGTCACCATCATGAAGCCACTGACAACTCTTTCAGTCTTTATTTAAACAACGTTTTCCTTTGAATTAGAATGATGTTTAAGGTCCCTGACAATCTCTGTGGTCCCTTTTAGGCCACTTGTTTGCGACTTCCTTTTTAAGACAAGTTAAACCATTAAAAAAAACAAAACAAAAAAAAACCCAAGGGGTATTATTTATGTATTTTATGTTGTAGAATAAGACATGAAAATATCTTGAGCTTGTGTTAACCACAGA